CAGGTGAACCCCCCCAGCTCTCCCAGCCTGGCTCCAGAGCAGAGGGGCTCCAGCCCTGGCAGCATCTCCGGGGCCTCCTCTGGACTCTCTCCAGCAGCTCCACGTCCTCCCTGTGCTGTTCCCAGGGCTGGACACAGTGCTCCAGCTGGGAATGTGTGGAGTATTTCATGGAGTATATATGGAATATGGTATTCCAGGAGTCCCTGATGACCATGACTGTGCTCCAAGGATCTCAGCCCCAAATCCTGCACATCTCCAGAGGGGCTGAGCCACCTTTCCCAGGGGCTGTTTTGGGATCTCCTCCCCGCACCACTGGGATGGGAGGGGCTGAGCCAGGGGGGCTCTGCAGTGCCAGGAACCCACATCCTGACCCCTCTGGGCCCTTCTGGGGTGGCTGGTCCTTGTCACAGCACAAGGCAGGGGGAAAACTGGGCTGATGGAACATCTCTGGTGCTCAGCCTTGTCCACACCACTGTCCTGCTTCCTGGGATTCCACTGGGGCTGCTCCTGTGCCCAGTCCTTCCTTGGACTCAGTTCTCCTGCTTGGGCCCCAACATGGATGTGGGTGGCACTAAATGTAGGTGGCATTAAATGCAGAGGATTTAGGGGATGTGATAAGGTCAGCGAGGCTGGGGGTGATGGGCTTTTGGGCCAACAGACTCTTTACAGCCAGGTTTTGCAAGAGGAAAAGCTCTGGAATGTTCCTTAATGAGAATTCCCTTTGTTTTGGTGGCGGAGAGGGTTTGGAAGTCCTCATAGGGAAAGGGCTTTAATTCTCCCAGGCTCAGGAACTCTCCCATCCTACAGGTGCCACCCTCACCCACACCCCTCCCAATTCACTTTTCTCTCCTTTTTCCCCCCAGAGTCAAGAAGAAGAACAAGCCCCTGAACCTCAAGATCCACAACAGCGTGGGGAGCTGTGAGAACATCCCTGCCCAGCGCTCCCCCCTCCTGGCCGAGCGCTCCCTGCGCTCCTTCTTCGTGGGCTACCCGCCCTTCCTGCCCTCCACCCCTCCCGTGCACACCGAAGCCACCTTCTCAGCCAGTGAGTGTCCCCCTCGGGTCCCTCTGCCACTTTGGGGGGGGGTGTTTGGGGCCAAGGAGACCCAAGGAGACCCAAGGAGACCCAAGGAGACCCTCCTTCCCCTCCTGTTCTTTCCTTCCTTCCCCCCTTTTCCTCTTCCTCCTTTTCCTTTTCTGCCCTATTTCCCCCTGTTTCCTTCCCCCTCCTTTCTTCCTCTTCCTTTCTCCCTCACTTTCCTTCCTTTCTTCCTTCCTCCCTCCCTTCCCCCTCCCTTCTTTCCTTACCTCCTTTCCTCCCCTGCTTTCCTTCCTTCCATCCTTCCTTCCTTTCCACCCTCTCTTCCTCCTTCCCCTCCTCTCTCCTTTCCTCTCTCCTTTCCTCCCCTTTCTTCTTTCTCTTCCTTCCTTCCCTTCCTTCCTTCCCTTCCT